GCCGAGCTGCAGCGCTGCGGCGGACGCGAACAGTGTCACCCACCGCCAGGACCCTCCGCCGGCCGCGGCCCGCGAACCATGACTCCTGCCCGCCCGGTTTCAGCTGGTGGTAAGGGCCACCCGCGCCTGCAACCGATGGCCAACAGTGCCCGCCGTAAACCCTGACATCGCTTTTCCGGGAGCCCTTGGGAGCACCCCTGCCCATCAGCAGGGTCCCAGCCTCTGGTCACTCCTGCAGACTCAGCTGCAGGGCCCCTTCCCTCAGGAAGCCTCCCCTGACTGCTCTCACAGAGCTGGATGCGTTTCTGGCTGGACATTCAGCCTCCTTATGTAACTGTCCTCTCCGGTGCTTGGCCCACCCTGTGGGCTCCTGGCAGGAGCGACAACAGAACCTGCTTCCGACATTAGGGCTGATTTTAGGAAATGGCTCCTTGAAAGGACGTAAAATTCCTAAGGAAAACATCAGGTCCCATTGCCTGTTGTCCAATGGAGTGGAGACACAAGGTCCACCCTATGCACGTTATCATGGAAAAGCGTGTGTCTCCCTTGTGAACTCTTCTGCCCCCTGTCATCCATAGAACAATGCAGCTACTGTCACCCTTTTTGCTTTGGCTGCCAGGGAGCTCAGAGCAATGCATTGGCTTAGGTGCAGCCCTTCAGATTAAGAGTGTGCCAGCATTCTTTCTCCTCTGTTATCGAAGAGTAAGACCCTGGCTGCAGGGACTGGTGTCTACACTGGGCACAGACCCTGCCCTCAAAAAGTGCAATTGCCCCATGTGGGGAACAGCCCCTACCTGGCAAGAACACGTGCTGAGGGTCAGCCAAGAGTGTGGGCATCGAGAAACTGTCTAGAGAATATCAGCTCCCCAGGCCTATCGCCTCCCAGGTGTAGCCTTGCCTCTCGGGGTTCCTTAGCCCCCAGGGCCTGAGCACCCCACTTCTCACTCCCTACAGGAGGCTCTGGCCCAGGCTTTCCTGGGTAGGGGAGATTAAGGCCACTGCAAGAAAGCCCCATCAACTGGCCCCAGGTCTTTTTCCAAACCCTTGTGCCCAGGGTGCTGCCCCTTCCTGCCCTCAGCCAACCTTTCTTGAGCACTCCCCACTCTGGCCTCCTCAACTCCTTTCCTGATCTTTGTGGGCCTTACTCCACCAGGGAACCTCTGTCATGCTCACCCCTACAATCATGCTTCAAGGTAGATGAAGACAGGAATGCTGAGGCTGAAAGCCTTTCGGGTGTGTGGCTGCCCCTCCCACCCACGGTGATAGCCACGGCTGCCGCCACCACTAGGGCGCCTACCCATCCCTAGATATTCGTCAAACAGGTCCTCGCAGGGTAGAAGTTTGTAGTCCGCCTCCCAGGGCACCTGGCCAGCCACCATGGAAGCCCCCACCCTCCTCTTCTTGGAGCGGAGCCAGAATTTCTGCCACCAGTCCTCTAGCTTCCTGGAGACAGAGCACCCAGGGAAATGCCCCCGTTCTAACAAGTCAGGTCCTGGGCACCCTGCAAGTAAAGGGCACCAGGAGGAGGAGGGCCTGGGGCCACTGGGCAGGCAGAGCGAGGGGCGACGCTTCGGCCCTCTGGGGCATCACCTCCCCCAGCAACCCTGCAGTGCCCTCAGGAAAGTCTGCCTCACTCACAGGAGATCTGGGGACAACTGATCCCTCCTGGAAACTGCAAAGAGGTGTCAAGAGCTGCGTCAAGCTTGGGAGGGAGGGAGGAAGGGAGTAGATGAGGACAGTGGGGCTCATGGTATTGCTTCCCCATGCTGCCGCTCGTCCAGCGACACCCTGCACTTTGGAATCCTGAACTCAGCTTCCCAACACCACCTGCTCTGAGAGTCAGGGCCATGCCCAGTGAGGGCACATGGCTTGGCCAAGGTCCCACAGCTACCGTCTGAGGTTCCCCCGGGGAGTCGCCAAGGAGCTGCCATCACGGGAGATCAGGTGTGGAGAGAGATGGTGGAGGGCATCCAGCCTCCGGCCAGATAAGAAACCACGCCTGGGCAGGCCATTGAAGGCTCTGGCCTAGGACAGGGTCCTAGTTGCCTTGACTGGGGCCACAGTGGTGCCAGTGGGTGGCACTGGGGAGTTGGGACCCCAGTGGTCTGGGTATTTCTGTTAGGGCAGGTGAAACCAGGGGCCTCCCCTTGCTCCTCCCTCTAGTGTTGTGCTGGGGCCAAAAAACTCGATGGTCCATCCACAGCAGGCTGCAGACAGGATGGACTGGCATGGATGGGACAGGGCCCAGGAACCCAGGCTTCCTCCCCTCCAAAGTTATCCCCGGGGCGAGAGAACTCAGTAAGTGTCTGCAGCAACTCTGTAGTGTGGGGGCATCATAGATCCTGCGGGGCAGGTGGCTGGGGCAGAGCCTCCCCTACATTGCACATGAGTCGCTGAGGTCCACGAGGGGCCAGACCTTCCTTCTGTCCAACCTCTTCTCCCAGCTGGGGCTGGACTGGGGCTGCTGCCCCAGACACTCCCGGGTCCCACAGTCCCTGGATGCTTCCCAGAGTGGGGTGGGGTGGGTGATTCACGGAACAAGAATCTCCTGCACGTTGTTGATGATCTGCTTGCCCACTGTGATGACCAGGAGTTCCTGTGCCAACTCAATGAGGCAGCCTCCAGCTACACACTGCAGCATCAGGGCCTCAGATTAGCTTGTGGGAGGGACCAACCTCATGTCCACCCAGCTGTCTCTAGGCCTCAAAGGTGGCCCCCACCATGCCCTCATCGCCTTTTCAGACATGCAACAGGCACCTTGAGGATGGCCGAAACCCTCCCGCCTTCCTCCCTCTTCCCTATCTCACTCAAGCCCCCTCCCCAAGCCTTCCCCAGGACCAACTGGCAGGCTGTGCATGGGAGTGACCAGAGGCACTATCGTATGGCACCCTGGGTTCTTTTTGGGAACCAACGGGTCAAGCCTAGCCTCTGGCTCAAGAGAGGACCCAAGATGCAGGCCTCAACAGTGACTTGGTCGAGCCAGTGAGGGATGGGCCTGGGCTTTCAGGGGGAGCTCGTGGGGCAGCATGCCTTGCAAGGGGGTACCAAGCTAAAGGGTGTCATCCACTGCTATTGGGATGTCAGCCCACACTGCAGGATGTCTTCCCTACCAGGTGAGGAGAACCTGCCCGAGAGCACAGCCAATGCTGGGGAAAGCAGCGCAACATTGTTTAAACACCTGGATCTAGCCGTACCTGAGTCCACAGGGCCCTGTATTTCCAATACGGGAGCCAATGAAACTCATTTTTGCTTAAGCCACTTTGAGTTGGGAACTTTTCCCACTGATAACTGAAGGCTGCTGGACTGATGTGCATCGTGTGCAGTCATGGCCCTGAGTTGTGGTCCCATCTGCCCTGTCCCTAGAAAGCCCCTCCCCTCTTGTGGGAAAATGGAGAGTGTCCCTTGGGGGCAGCTACTCTGCAGGCAGCTGTCAGGCTGGGTCACAACCCAGACCCATGGGAGGTTGCTGTTCTCCCTCCTTCTTCATCAAAAAGAAGAGGGTCTTTGAGGTGAGGTGCTCAGCAGGAGCTGTTGGACCCCCACCTGTGTCCCCTTGGCCAAGCCCAGAGGCCACTTGTGGACTATTCCAGACACAGCCACTCATGCTGCCTCAGGGCGAGCCTGGCCCTCCGCCAGTGAGGAACCAGATGAACCGGGACAATCTGGGGGGTTTTCTATAGTGTCTCAGAGAGTCTGCGCAGGGTTGAGCCCACACGTCCTCAACAGCGGCCCCGCACTTAAGTACTCGCAGGTGCACCTCCTCCTGCCATCCTCCTCCGTTTGCATGCTTCCCGGGGTGACACCCCCACCAATTATGCGCACTCCAGTCTGTTGGGGTCAGCTTTGGGGGCACCCCACACACAGTGATGCTTCGTTCTGCACAGAAGCAGCTTCTGCTTCCTGAAAAAGCAGGCTCACACCTGGCTCTCAGAGCTGCTGGGCCACGCAAGGGAGCCTGCTGTGCTGGCGGGGGTGGAGGGGGCCAGCCCGGGAGACGCTGAGCCCCGGAAGGGCCGCCAGCCCCTGCACGCAGTGTGCCAGCCGAGTTCGCGGCAGCGGCATTGCCTCACGGTCCACCCCGATGACTGGAGCTCCGCTCAGGTGGGAATCGGGAGCCTCTAGGGACACGCGGATTGTGAGTGTTTTGTGGACGGCTGCGAGGGGGCAGAAGCCGTGCGAGGAGGCCGGCGTGGCGGTCCTAGGGGGCAGGAAGGGCCGTCAGCGGCTAGGGCCGGTCTCCGCGGGCTCACCGCCTGGTTGCGGACCCCAAGCAGGATGTGGCCGTTGCCCGGATAGCCCACGAACCTGGGGGAGAATCAAGGTCCAGAGGCAGCGCGTGACCAGCCCC